AGAGAGAGAGAGAGAGCTTCGATCGACGTAGGTAAACGGCACGTACACTTGATACTAAACCAATTTGTGATAATCAATGTAAGTGGAGTTAATCAAATATCACAATAGGAATTAACGTTGTAAATTAACCAACGATTATTTCACACCGTTAACACGCCAGATTCTTTTTTATAACAATTATTCGCGTTAATGCTCGAATTTGAGAGAGAGAGCTCGCTTTATAATATAATTTACCGGCGAGTTAGGGCGGAATTCCACGCGGAAGTTTTTTTATTTTTAATATCTGAAATTCGGGTGGATTATACGTGTCAGCCGCACCCCCTCGAAATCGGGGGTGGCGGGGAGCGGTAGGGGCAGCGGTTATGAGAAGCGGTCGAAACGTGTTCGAAGAAAATTATTACGTTGTTGAAGCACGAATTATCGGGCCGATCTGATATCACACGTATGTATGCAGTTTGCCTTGACACAACGATGGTCGCACGAGCAAGGACGACCCAACATCGCGGGATAACATCGTTCACGACATTTCTATGGCCAAGTACACCCTCTATCTACTATTTTTATGCCCCCCACTGTCAAGTTTCGTTCGATTGACTTGCCGCGCTACCAGGATCGATCTAGATAGCTCTTTTTTTGTCTCGATGAAAAAATACGACAACGCAACGGACGTCGGCTTTAGCTCTAACTTTAATCATCGACCAACGTTTGATGGACAGACACGATATAAGCTTAAGATGGTTAGATAGAGATAGCGATCTAAAGATAAAGATAAAGATGATTGTTGAAAGCTGATTGTATTTCAATATATTAAATACTGATTAAAATGTTGAGTAAATAAATAAGGATCGCTCTAATGGAATATCCTTCATACGTTGCATTCTCGTAATTTTGAGAAATACGAGTTAAATCTGTTGGACGGAAAATAATGATCGTCGAGTTTGCAGAGAATAAAAGAGATCAAGTCCTGAAAAGCACTTAAGTGCTAGTTGCCGCCATACATCGTGCTGTTTGCTAAGCGACCACACAAGAAACATCAATCACAAACGCAGTGGGGCACCCCTGTTGTAACGTAAATTATTCGATCAGGTTTCCGTAAATTACCGCACGACAAAACCGCGAGCTATTTTTCAGTCGCGACGTTTCCATCGATCCTCGTCATAACTTAATTCGCGGATTCGATCTCATACCTCACATAATTTCGGGCGACATCATCGAAAACGTAAGGGACACGCCGTTTCCGGTTTCCTTGAAATGTCGCGAGCAAAATTCTATCCGATTGAATTTCATTCATCCCCCGTGGCGAAAAAAGTTTTTCCCGATGTGTAACGCCGCGCGTGGCGAAGCGCAAAGAGACTATGTCTCTCGTCACCTGTCATTGTTCCCGCCAAGACGATGCGATACTACACGTCCACAAATCGACCATCGACCATCGCGCGTCATCTGCCCCGCAACACGCGGGGTACATCATCGTACATCCCCGGCGAATAAAAAATATTTCTACGAGCCGAGCCGAGGAAGACCCTTTACCCTTCTCGAAATCCCTGCGCGCGCGGATGTCACCCTCATCCCTCCGAAAATACACGCATTCGAATTTCCGGGCACGTGTAACCACCTGGGACTATGGCTTGATGAACACGCGTCGCACTTACGTAGTCCTGTCTACCAACCCTACGAAGACAACGCCGCGAGGATCGACGGATGAGAGAAGGAGGGAGGCGGGAGGGGGGGGTGGGGGGTGGCCCCGCGCCGGCGACACGAGCCTCCTCCTCGTGCGCGCTCAGCTCAGCTCAGCTGGACGCATATCGCCGAGCCGCGCGACTATCCTGCCTGCCTGCCTGGCTGGCGGTAAACCGGCGGCTGCACTGGCGTGCCTGTGCAGCCAGGCAACCCTCGCGAGCACACTGCGCTACGTGCACCCCCGACTCGCTCGCGCGCCCCCGCACTCGTACCCGCCTCGTATACGCCGTGTGTCTCGTGCGCAACCGGAGCGGCGCGTCGGCGCCGCTTTCGGAGAACTGGTTTTCCACCAGGCTCTGTCCAAGACAGGCGGGCGCGCGTCCGCCGACGACTGGCTGCGTGACGCAATGCGTGGTGGAGAGCCACACGAACCGACCGATCGAAGTTAGTTATGCCGGCTTGGCGGCCGGGCAGCCACTGAGGGATGATGGGCGATGTTGATTGCTGCCGACGCTTCTGCTGGTGCTGCTGCTGCTGCTGCCGCTGCCGCCGCTGCCGCCGCTGCTGCTGATAGTGATGGCGTGCCAGTGCTGCTGCTGGCTCTGTAGCAGAGACTCTGTAGTTGGAGGAGGATCGATAAAAGGAGGAGGGAAGAGCAAAGTGAATAGGCGCCCGGGAAGAAACAAGGGATATCTCTATGGGAGATCCTCCGCTCCGAGATGCGCTCCTGCTGCTCTCTCCGATTCGCCAGAGCGAATGTAACTTTCCCAATGTCGAGATGGCCCTGCCTCTAGCCCTTCCCTACCTTTATCTCTTTCTTTCTCTTTCTACCACCCCCTCCCCGAGCTAACAATCTCACGTCGCTATGGTATTCGAGTTTAGTGAACTTCCGACGGAGGTTTCCCGATAAACGTCCCGCTTTCTGAAGCACGTTCGGTATCGAATTAGGATCGCAATAATTGATTTCTGTGAGAAACTGACATTTATCAAATATACTGGCAAATATCTTTGATTAAAATGAAATATCGCATTAACTATTTTAGTATTCTTACAAAGCCTGCCTTTGCCTTTGCTGGACGCGCAAATTTTTATTGCGGCTTGAATTTAACTTGCATTTGTTTTGCTGTTAAAATCATTAAAAGTTGTATCTTTTGAACTGATTTGTAGAATATTAAAAAAAATGTTTAATTAATCGTTCACTTTGTTATACGTACTGTCATATCTATGCAAGAGAAGCAAGAGCCACCGTTCTTGAATCACAGCCAAGAATTTTGAGCGAGACCATTTTTCGTGACGTTTGACCCGTTTCTATCGAACGGCAGTGACGTCATAGCGGAGAATGTCAGATCAATGGTCCCCGGGGAGTTGGTGACGGATGCTCTCCTACCCTCGCATCCCCCTAACTTAGGGTAGCTCCACTCGTATGGTAGAGTGCGCGATTACGCGCGCTACCGACCCACATCAGTTTTCGGTCGAATGGAAGTTGAGAAAGGCCAATAACGATATCGGGACGTCATCGTAACGTAAGGAAGATAATCAACAAATCTATAGGAAACCATTTTGGGAAAGTTTTATCACCGATCTTCTATCGCCGGAGGAAAAAAAGGCTTTTAAATTTACGTGTCAGAATACACGTGTATTCTTTTGCATATTCCTATTTCAGTTTTGGATACACCGCTGTTTACTTGGAACGGAAAGGAAGCGATTCGTTCGGCCGCCCTTCTCCCGTCCGCGAATCCCGCGTTTATCTTGGCGTTTAAATTGTCGTATCATACTTTGTACCTGTATTCAAATTTGTATCCAAATCGACTTCGAGACTTCCGTCCCGATTAATGTTCCTTGTCAAATGCCACCTGAACGCTCCGCGTCGCCGTGCGTTAGTTCGCCAGCTCCAGCTCTCTCTCTCTCTCGGGATGAGAGCCACTGGCGCGACGTCATACAGAGTTCAATGACGTCACAGGGCGTTCGATACGAGAGCGGGATTTTGTAGTGGGGATCGCTACACCGAGACGAGAGTAAAGAAGAGCGCGATCC